GGGAGAGCATATGGCTAGGTTGAGAAACCTCGTTTAAGCCCCCAGGGTCATATTCAACTACAGTACAATTTTGGGGATGCTGCATTGGAATGGGAGGGAGGGGGAATGCAGGGGAGCAGTGTCGGAGTAAAAATAATGGCCTGTTTCATCTTAAAACTCATCGTATCGATAACTAAGTCTTGGGCTTCTTGCCCTTTTCATGGGAAAAATATGGCTAGGTTGAGAAACCTCGTTTAAGCCCCCAGGGTCATATTCAACTACAGTACAATTTTGGGGATGCTGCATTGGAATGGGAGGGAGGGGGAATGCAGGGGAGCAGTGTCGGAGTAAAAATAATGGCCTGTTTCATCTTAAAACTCATCGTATCGATAACTAAGTCTTGGGCTTCTTGCCCTTTTCATGGGAAAATACCTGTGCGTATCGATAACTAAGTCTTGGGCTTCTTGCTCTTTTCACGGGAAAATACCTGTGCAGAAAAGCCCCCAGCTGAAGTCTAGTGGGAAAAGCAAGCAGGGCCTTAGGGTGGATTTTAAAAAAAGAAAAAAAAATCAATGATTTTTAACCCCGCCTATCTAGTCATTTCCACCACTCTGGGCGGCTAGAAGCCCCCAGCTGAAGTCTAGTGGGAAAGCAAGCAGGGCCTTAGGGTGGATTTAAAAAAAAAAGAAAAGAAAAATCAATGATTTTTTTTAAAAAAAAATCAAATTGATTTAAAACAGTATTGAAATTTTTAAAAATTGAATATGTAAAAACAAATCAATTTAAAAAAAAAATCTAAATTGTGGTTTAAATCCAAGCCACTCTAGCCTCCTGGCAAGATTGGAAGAGGGTAGATGGGGGGGGGACAGAGCCAGCTCCCCCCGGCCTGAGATTTGTCCAGCCCCCAGATTTGTGGCCCAGCTGCTCCTGTGCAATGAAAGGTATAAAGTCTTTGGGGGGGGCAGGACCCGGAGGGTTTAAAATGAGCTCGGACAAGTTCTTAAAGTTAACCTTTGGTGTGGTGCTTGTGTCTTAAAATGAGCTTTTCTATTGATAAGAGGAGCCCAGACAAGTTCTTAAAGTTCACCTTTGGTGTGGTGCTTGTGTTTGTGTGTATGTGTGAAGAGAACCGGGGGGGCAGTGATTTGGGGTGCCCCCCCTGCAGATCCCGTTCTTGCCTTTCTCGTGGCGGGCCTCCTGCAAAGGGGAAGGTTGGACAGAACATTTAGGGGAAGGGATTCTAGACTGCCAGGCCCCCGTGGGTCCGTCTTCGCTGCCCTGGCAGAATCACAAGGGTTTGGGTTTTTTTTTGGAGAGACAGTGAAAGACATTCCAAGCCCCCAAATAAATAGCATTTCTCCCCCCCCCGCCTTTGCAAACAGCAGTCGGAGGGCGTCAGCAAGCTTGCTGAGAAAGGCTTGCATGGGGGGGGGGAGTTGCTCAGCTTTCCCAGATTTGGCCGTGGGCCTCCTTGGCTGCTGCTGGGGGCTTTTCTCCTCCGTAGCATCTTCCGTCTCTCTCTTCTCCCCCCCCCCCTTGCTGCCTTGTTTGGCTTTGGGGCAGCCCTGGCTCTGTTCCCACGCCTGCCCGGGACTGCAGGGAGACATTTATTTCTCTTCCCGTCAAACCCAAACCCCAGAGTCTCTTTGTCCACCTCCGGTCAGGATCCCCCTGGGATTTTTGGGGGGGGGCAGTTTGAGAGCAGTTTGTCCCTGGGATTAGTGGGAGCCACAAGGTCCGGGAAATAACATCACTGGTGGTGGTGGGGGGGAGAGATAACCGAGAAATTCCAGTTTGTCCCTGGGATTAGCGGGAGCCACAAGGTCCGGGAAATAACATTACTGGTGGTGGTGGGGGGGGGAGAGATAACCGAGAAATTTTCAGGCTTCCTGTTGACATTCCCCACGGTAGTCCTGGAAATTTTCAGTATGATGTTAAGGATCGTATTGAACGTCGTTGCCGTGCCTTGACGTCCCCGGGCTTCTACCATAGAGATGCTGCCATTGCATAAAACTTGTGTCTATTTTTCCCGGAGAGCGTGGTCTACCTGCGGCCCCTTCCAGACTGGGTAGCGGAATTTCCAGCTTGAACTCTCCGTGTCTGTCTCTGTCTCTCTCCTTGCTGCGCCCCTTTCCGTATCTCCAGGCGACATTGGCAGAAAAAAGGCAGACATAGCTAAGATGGGTTCCTCCCCCCCTTTCCCACTGCCCTCCGGGCAGGCCTGTGCGAGCTTGCAAAGAGATGGCTAGAATTCTCCAGATATTATGCAATCAGGGGTTCAGAAAAATTCCAAGTTTCCACACAGATGTTGGTTTTGCAAGGGCCGGGTGACGTGACTTCTGGATTATAGCTTCTAAAACTTGCCAGCCAGGCGACCCGAGGACTTGGCGATCAGTGTCAGTATCCGTTTCTTCCCTAATCTAGTTGCTGAGGTATTGTGAGTTTTCCCAAGAGTTTGTAGCACAAACAAATGCACCAGGTTGGTTTGACTATGAAATCCGGACCTTAGAAAAGTGTGGGTTTTTGGAGGGGGTGGAGGCTTTGCAACCAGGGTGAATTGGATTAAAATCCTGGTTTAAGTCATGATTCGGATTTTAAAAATCGGAATGTTTTTGACAATTTAAATGGTAAAAAATTTGATTTTTTAAACATTTAGTCATTATCCTAGAACGGCAGAGCTGGCAGGGACCCAATGGATCATGGAGTCCCTGTCAAGAAGGCCCAGTAGGGGGGATTTGAACTTCCAACCTCTGGCTTCGTGGTCAAGAGACCTCAACCACTGAGCCATCCAGCAGTTAAATCAGGATTGAAATCAATGTGATTTTTAAAAGTCATTGCATTGGGAGGATCGGTCGTTAGATCTCTGGGTGCTTTCCCTGGCTTCCTGTATTTTTCACAGGAACAATAAAGGGCTGGGTTGCCCTTCCGGCTCTGAAGTCAAGCAGCTGAGATATCCTCTTAGAACCGCCGAGCTGGAAGGGACCCTCGGGGTCATCCAGTCCAGCCCCTGTCAGGGAGGCCCAGTGGGTGGGGGGATTTGAACTCCCAACTTTTAGCTCTGCAGGAAAGGTCTGCCCTTAAACCACGTGGATGGCTGAGAATATGAACCCCCCATGTTCAGAAGCAGTCTACCTCTAGAACCCAGATCTGTGGGTCAAAAAGAAAAGAGGAGGCTTTTTTTTTCAGGAAAGGAGGGAATGGCCTGCTCTTTCTTATATGCACACCCTGCTTGCACGTTAGGGCCGAGAGAGAGAGAGAATTCACCATTTGCCCTCCTTTGAGGCCCGTCCTGTGCCATCTCGCTTGCCTTCCAAGCAGGGAGTTGCCCGTCTGGGGACGCTGACGCCCGACGGGAAGAGGAGAGCGAGCCGAACCCCCCGCTTCCCTTCCGCTCTCGCCAACCCTTGGCTGGCGTCTCCCGGAAGTTTGCCTTGCCTTGTCGGTGTTTCCTTCCTGTGCCCGTGCCAGGGGAAGGGGAGCGCCTGGCACAAGGGGTTGGTCTGCATTTGGAGAAGGAGAGGGTGGCTCCCTCTGGGAAAGGATATGGGAAGAGAAGGGTGATGTGCGGGCTGCCAAAATGGAGCTCTGTAGGAAATTATCCTTTCCCCCCTATAAGCTGGCGGTTGGGCCGGGCAGTGGCTGGCTTCCCCTCTTGGGTTCCAGGGTGTGTGTGTGTGTGTGTTCACGTTTCCCAGGGAACCGGGGCAGAAGCGATGTGGCATCTGATTTCAACAGTGCTCCTTTTCATTGTGCCGGGCTTCTGGCTGGCTGCCTCACAGGTCTGTCCCGTTCGCTCGTGAATGACCGCAATGGGGTTGGGTTGGAATCCCGCTTCCCAGAGGGTGGGGTGGGGTTTTTTCCATCCCGATGGTGTGCATCACAACTCCCACCGACGGTCACGTGACAGCCCTTCCTAGCTGGGGCTGATGGGTAGGGGTGGTCCGAAACAAACCAGGTTGAGGCAGAACGTTATGGGAACATCGGGTAGAGAACGGGTCAGGAAATGGCGAAGTCAATATCTTGGTGGGATTTCCGGATCCCAATGGATAGACACCTTGAACATAAACACGCCGGGCAGAGTCGTAATAGAACGAAGAAATGTCTGGATCGTTGACGTTGCAGTTCCAGGAGGTGCCCGAGTTGAAAAATAAAGAATTGGGAGAAAAACTTAACAAAAGTACAGAGACCTGGCCATCGAAACATCTCGTTTGTGGATGAAACAGTGCTGTGGTCTCCCTCGTCATCGGGGCATTGGGAACAATATCAAGAAATTTCACACAGTCCTATATAAGCAGTTGCAGGTCTCAGAAATCACACCACCCTCAGAGCTACCAAAAAAAACCCCCAGCAATATTAGGAACAGCACACATGCTGCACCGATATTTAGCAGACGATTAGGTTTTTGGTTTAAATTTGTCTCTGCTATATGATACCAGCCAATGTTTTTGTAATTTTGATTGACTGTGTCTGGTGTTTTTGAAACCTCCTCCTCTTAGAACAGCAGAGCTGGGTTTTGGATCTGTCGGGTGGATGAAGGTGTGGGGGGGATTCAGGGTGTCCGCCACCCTCTTTGGGACATTTAGGGATGTTGCTCTTGTCCTTCCTCCGGCAGGTTAGACAAAATGCCTCTACGGCATTTTCAGGCACTGGCTGGTTGGAAGGAGTAGATCATTTGCAGCTTTTTCGGAAAACCTGTTTCCGAAAGTACTGGTTTGATTTATTTGTGGGGAGGAGGGATCCCCGCACGGACTGGGTTTTCGTGATGTTACATTCCTTTGGAAAACGGATGAGGGGCAATCGCAAGTATTTCAAGAAGAGTAGATACTGAAGGATGGTCTCTCAGTAGCAGAGGGGAAAAAAACACAAGCGACGAGGTCGTGATATCATCCGGAGGCCGTCTTGATCTGACTCCCGTAGGGATGACGCGCAGCCCTGAGGACTAGGAGCTTGAGCATCACTTTCCAGGAAGTGGCATTCCGCGCCCAATTCCGTGTCTTTTTTTTTTCCCTTTCCTTCTGCAGGCAGAGGCGGAAGTGGCCTCCTTGAACCGCCGCATCCAGCTGGTCGAGGAGGAGTTGGATCGGGCCCAGGAGCGCCTCGCCACGGCCCTGCAGAAGCTGGAGGAAGCCGAGAAGGCGGCGGACGAGAGTGAAAGGTGCGTGACGGGGAGAGGGAACGAGAGCGAGTTTTGAAGCCAGGGTTGGTTTTGGGGGGATTGTGCAGGGAGAAAAATGGGCTCCTTTGAGCCCCAGCCAAGCTCCACAAACACCTGGAGGACCAGACGTGTCGCCCCGGCTAGTGTAGGAGTCGCAAGCCCTTGACCTCAGTGGTTCCCAGGAGCTTTCCCCACCAGCTGTGACCGGCCAGGATTTCTGGGAGTTGTAGTCCAAGAACATCAGGTCACCCAAGGTTGGGAGCCACTGCCTTACATAAACTGTGTGATGGGGAATTTGGGGCAACGGGTGATGGAGCAGGAATAGGCTCTGGTGAGACACCGGCCCAGTATTAATTCATCAGCAGCACCGGAGCTTAGGGGAAGATCTCTTTTCCGTGGCTTTGACCAAGGGGGTATCTCCTAAGGAAGGAAAACCGAAACTTCTCCAAGCTCTGAGAAGGAATGGGGGCGACGCATGACTTCCGGGGCAGCGTAGGGTAGGGTCAAGGCTTCTGTAGGATGCGCTGGAGAACGGGTTGGTTGGACAGGTGGGGTCTGGTGGGCTTGTGACCAGCTCCTAGAGAGCCCCAGGGAACGAACGGCGAGGGCGTCTTGGGGCCGTGACTCTCGTCTCGTGCCAACAGAAGCCCAGTGGCAGCCGCGATCCTCTTGCTTTCGCCCCACAAAGGGCGGAGGATGTCCGTTCTCAGACGCCTCGGCTGGCACAGCCCAAGGTTGGACGTTCAGAACATCAGGAAGGCTGGGAAGGTGCCAACCCTTGGTGGTTCTCTACCTGTTGGCTGATCCAATTAGGTTGAGTGCTGGGTTATATCTGTGGCTCCCGGCCTGGGGTCCCCCGAGGTTCTCGGACTACAACCCCCAGAAATCCTGGCCAGCACAGCTTGTGGCGAAGGAACCAAGGTTGGGAACCACTGGATTATATGCTGCTGTTCTCCGGGAGAGAGACCAGCACGGCTGGCTCTGTTTGGGACCTTCTCTTGAGCGCGCCAGGAGTTACATGAGATGCTGAGAGTGACCCGGCCGCTCCCCTTTCTCACTCAGGGGCATGAAGGTCATTGAAAACAGAGCCCTGAAGGACGAGGAGAAGATGGAGCTGCAGGAGATCCAACTCAAGGAGGCCAAGCACATCGCCGAGGAGGCGGACCGGAAGTACGAGGAGGTGAGGATCCGTGGCGCTGAACGCAGGTCCTTCCCCTGCAAGCAGGAAGGGACCGTAGCTCAGAGCAGAGCCGATGCCTTTCCTCTTGCAGCTGCTGGGTTCAATCCCATAATATTTTCAGATACAATTACAGTGGGACACACACACACACACACCCAGTCTGAAGCTCAGAAGAAGGTCTTCTACCTGCCAAGGTAGAAGACAGTGAGGTGGGCAACAGCAGGGTGAGACTTAAAACCAGCATCTGTCAAAATGGTTTTGCTGGTTTTTAATTCCGCCTCTGGAGTTTTGAAATCACAACCGCTGCCCCCCCCCCGGCTTGCTCCAGGCCAGTTTGGGGTTGAAGGCAGTCCCAAAGCATGGGCAGGATCTCACGGGTAATCCCTGTGCGCATTCCTGATCATGAAACGAGGGGGGGGGGTCATCCTTCTCAACCTCTGCCACAATATCTGCTCCCAGTTTCTTGCTGGTTTTCCAGAAGAGGAGCAAGGCAGGTCAGGAAATGGTGCCGAGATTAAATATATATATATATTTGGGAGTTACCTTTTGGCGACTCAGGGACCTTGGTTTTTTTTTTTTCCAGAGCTGGTAGCACCCCCCACCGTATTGGCAACGGTGTGCTGCCACGATATCTGCTCCCAGTTTCCTGCTGGTTTTCCGGAAGAGGAGCAAAGCGGGTCAGGAAATGGTGCCGAGATTAAAAATATATATATATTTGGGAGTTACCTTTTAGTGACTCAGGGACCTTGGGGTTTTTTTTCCAGAGCTGGTAGCATGCCCCACGTATTGGCATTGGTGCGTGTGTGTTTTTCTCTTGTTGGGTTGACCCTTCCTCTTTCCAGGTGGCCCGGAAGCTGGTAATCATTGAAGGAGACCTGGAGCGCACAGAGGAGAGGGCTGAGCTGGCAGAATCGTGAGTACCTTCCTTTGCCGAGCCTTTTCCGATTCGGCCCGGGACACAAGCGCTCCCCGCACAAAAGCTTTGCCCCAGCACTCAGCTTTGCACCCTGTCGAACGAGAGGCTGTCTCCTAGCAGGGAGGGAACCACGGCCGCGGACCCCTCCCTCTCTCCCTCTTCCCGCAGATCGGGAGGGTGTCGCAGAGTAGTCCCAGAGAAATGCCTGTGATTGACGCCGGTGTGGAATGCGTGGTGTTGACTCAGCGGTGTTGACTTTGGTGGCGCCCTCTTGACCTTCGGGTGTGGCGGCATGCAAGGAAGGAATTAGAGGAGGAGGACCCTTGAGGCCTGCCACGGAATGGGGCAGAGCGGACCTCTCGTGGCAAACCTCTTAGCCGCACATGTCTATCCGTAAGGGGCTCTGCTCCGTCTCCCTGCTTCCCAAGTGGACGGATTTTCCCCAAGCTGGTCCCAGATGACCCCGAGGCCAGCCAGACCTGCCCCCAGAACAGAGTGGTTCAACTCTGGCCTCTCCGTTGGAGGAGGCTGTCCCTTCTCCCCTCGGACGCTTGGCCAGGCCTTCCCTGACTGTCTGAAAGACCCAGCAGGGCTGTTGTTGTAGGAGGCAGCCGAGCCAGGCCACTGGCTTCCTGCTGGTGCTTGTGTCTATCAGCTGGACCACCCTGGTGGAGGCCTTCCGGGTTCTCTCTCTTGCTTTTCGGAGCACCCTCGGTGGCATCTGGTTGACATCTGGTGGGCCGGATGGAATCCAGGAGGGGAAGACTTGGATTCTCTCTTGACACAAAAGGCCAAGCCGCTCTGCTAGGAAGGATGGAGGGAAGACCCCTGCCAGGTTTAGGTCGGCGCCTCTGCTTTTCATGAAGAGGCGCCTGATGCCCAGAAGGGAGGCTCTTTCCCATGACAAGGCTTAGGAGCGCTGAGCTGGCCAGATGTTCTGGCCCGCAAAACCCATCATCCCCCTCAACCGTGGCTGATGGAAAGGCGCGGAAGGATTGCATGCAGCTGCACTGCAGTCCAGATTTCCTGGCCGAGCTTTGGACTACAACAGCTATCATCCTCCAGGTAGTGTGACGAGCCGTAGTCCAGAAAAAAAGAGATGTGTCCCCCCCCAGTTCTGCCTGGAGAGCAGTAAATGACTGATGGGTCTCTTGATAAGGTAGGGGGGAAAGGACAGCTGAAATGGCTGGTCTTATTTCACCTTAAGAGGTGAAATAATCAGCTTTGTTTCGAGAGGGGAGGGTTGTCCTTGGAACTTGTCCTGGCCTGACGGGGAGGTGACTTGAGGGCTCCTGACCTTGAGAAATAAGCAAGCAGGGATTGAAGGGGACCCAGTTGTGTGTGTGGGGGGGGGTCCTCTCCCCCATGTGTGTGTGTGTGTGTGTGTGTGGGTCTCTCCCCCGGGAGCTCCAGTGGCTTCTAGTCATTCCCCTTTTCTCTTGGAAATGGCTCGGTGTCTCTCCTCCAAGCCCTCCCTAAGCTAGGATTCCAGAATCCCTTTCTAAGCCAGCAGCGGGAATCAAGCTCGGATTAAAACCCGGCATCGGTTTGTCTCACGCACACGCCCGGAGTGGCCTGTGGATTCCAGCCGTTGCCCTGCGGACTTGTCCACTTGATTTCTCTTTTCGGGTGTGTGTGTGTGTCTTTCACGCTTAGTGGTGTGTGCATGTATATGGGTGTGTTTCTCTGTGCGCCTGGCTGCACGCAATGGGTTCACTGCCTCTCCCCTCCCTGGAGACGGTCGTCCTGAATCGGGGGCCCACCTCGCCGCCCAAAAATAACATGCCCTTTGCATCATCTTAACGTGGCCCTGTTTCTCAAACGTCTGCCTGTTGATGCCGAATCCCTTTTGCAGCCTTGAGAGCTAGAAACTTGATTTTAAATTTTGAAGGGGAAAAAATGGCAGCTAAGGTGTTCCTGAGAAGCCCCGGAGGGGTTTTGTGTATGTGTGTGCGTGTGTGTTTGTTGTGCCCATAACAGCTGCCCCATCTTTCAGCCAAATCGTGATTTGGGGAGGTCTCCAAGGGAGGAGAAGGCAGTCTTGGCTAGGGTTTGTGTGTGTGTGAGTGAGACTCTCAAGACCATCTTCCATGCCCTTGAGTGATCATTTTTTTCAAAAAAATTGCCCTGCCCCCCCCCACAAAACCAGCGCTTGCACCTCACAGTCTGAAGCAACCCCCTTTTGCTAGAATACAGCTCTCATCTCTCTCAGGATGGGCATGGTAGTCCTTGGCGATCGGGTGGGTGAACCAGGAGGGCAGGGGCGCTC